GTTTTTCAAATTAAATCTTGAAAAAGTCATTTGACTAATGATAGATAAGTTAACTTGTTAATTCTGAAGAAAGGTAACCTCTGTCAGCTCTTGCCCCTGGATGCCACTTTTGAGATTATAAACCTAAGATGCATTGCCCTGATGAGTTCTGTATGTTGTATGGCATATGTGGATTTACTTCATTTTGAAGGGAATAGCCAGGCCATGAATTTGGGTTAGGGAAGTGATTAATATGTCTTCTGAAAGTTTCTTTTGGAGGAAACTCTACCTGATGCATTATATATTGCCTAAGACTCCTTTTGCAGTTTGAATATAATAGCTTTAGTTTGCCTTGCATTTTGTTTTTTTTTTTAGGAATAGAAAGAAGTTCCTTAAGAAAATAAATAAATCACCATTTCATAACAAAGGTGATGTTCTCTACGGAATGGATACACAGCCACTTTGTTCTGTAGAGTTTGAAACTAGAAGAGAATCATAGTCAGGAATGACTGATTCACCACCTGACTGTTATTACTAGTTGGTTTTAGCATTTCTTTCTAATCTACCTGCATTTTGGTCGCTGTTTTTATTGCATAGCTGCCTTTTAAAAACTAATAGCCAGAAAAGAAGAAAGAGCTTAAGAGAAAGTAATTGCTGTTTCAAATAAGTAGGGAAGTTCCTGGTAGATGCCGCATAAGTGAGTGTTATTGAGTTTTAAATTTAAGTTTCAGTGTTGACTGATTTCCATGTAATTGTAAAATTATGGAGGAATTGCTGTAATGAGGTAACTTTTCTTAAATGTAGTATTTAAACAGGAGAACTAAGCTTAATATGTTATTAAACAGAGAACTTGGGAATGTTTAGTGTACAGTCGGCTTTTGATTTTTTTGCTGATGCAATATCCAAATCCTGCATTTTCAGAATTTACTGTTTAAATGATGATTATTTGAATGTCTAATTATAAATGCTTGTTACCTCTGGTACTTCCTTTCACGGCACAATAGAAATTTCTGGTTTGCATTGCAGAGCTATCTGCAGTGAACACAAATGGCAGGCAGTAATTCGCAGCATCTGCAGCCTGTGCCAATAACTTGTTAAAACTGCTTCTTTCTCTCAAGTTTCCATTTGCCCAAAGTTGCTTTAATAATGGTTATTAAAGAAGTGAAGGGGAAGCAAAAAATGGTGATGCAAGGTGTGTTGAAGCTGTTGAAATTTCCCATCCCTGGTTCTCTCTCTTCTTTTCCCTTCATTCCCTCCGGAGAGCTAGGTGACTCCCTGTCCTTCTCATGCTTTGGTGGTTTTGTGCCACATGCCCCACTATGGGATGTGTTTTTCTTATGAGGTTGGTGTGTATTTGTCAATTTGTGCTGTCAAGGTCTTTTTGTGTCAAGTCTTGTCTTGTTTTGGCTTTCCAATTGGGAACACTTTGTTCGGGATTTTTTTTTTTAATCTATGTTGGTTCCTGTGAGGTTTTTTCTTTTTTTTAAAGCTAGATGTTTTTAGGCAAATACATTTAAGAACAAACTGTTGCTTTCAATTTAGTGTGAAAATTAAGAAATAGTTATATGCCTGCTGTAACGGGACATAGATGATAGAGGAGCACAGTATCCCTATGACAAAAAGTAGAGAAATGTCTCCTGCATATGTGATCAGTGTTTAAAGGGTGAAATTCCCTTGCTGATGGTGAGCTATAAACTTAGTATAGTGAGATAATCACAATTTGACAGATGCTGGCTACAGAGATAACTGCTGATATCCTGAGAACTCATAGGAGAAAGGCAAGGTATTTAAGAAACAGTGATGTATGAGCAAATCATCTTTTGTATGTATTGAAAATGTTCTTATCAGTCTGATGTTTTCACTGTGATAGTTAATTTGCAAGTTTTTAAACTGGGCATAGCTTCCATAAGCAGTATTGAAATTTTAGTTTCTAATTACAACTGGAACCAAACACCAGCTCCAAGCAATGGAGGTGGGTCTCTTAATATTTACAAGGTATATGCAATGTTTAGCAAGGTTTTTTTTCTACCTGTTAGTTCCCAGGTAAAGATACAAGGTTGCCCTGCTGGTTTTGTTGCGTGTTGGTTTAGTGAATTAAACAGGAACCAGATTCACTTGCAAACAGTTGGAGAGGGAACTGAGTGGGTGCAGGGGGGACAGATGACAGTAGCAGCATTGTCTGGGCAATCTCTATTTGCAAGGAGAGGTGTATAGTATAACATCTTTCCTTTCTGTCTGGTATTCTCTAAGAATGACTTTATCACTGGTGGTAAACGTAGTGGGCACGTAGGCAGTCTTACCTATAGTCATAGTAACTTAAATAGCTGTGCTGTTAAATAGCTTGTATTTGTGAAAACTGTGATAGTCAGCTATTTAGCAAATTGTAGATAAAGTAACAAGAAGCAGTTGGTGGCAAATAACTAACTTGAGAAAATATGGTTGCTTAACTTTTTATTTTTAGTAGCAACAAAATGAAGAATATAAAGAGGGTAGAGTAGAAGGTATAAAGAGAGTATAAAGAGGACAGAAGGGATAGAAAGGACTCGAGTATTTCAGGATGATATTTTTAAATTTAAGGATTAAAAGATAGTTTGATTTCAGTACATTAAACTATTAAAAAGGTGTTCAAGCTTTTTTCAAGGCTTCTCTCAGAATACCTTGTTTACTCAGTTGTTTAAATGGCTAATAACTGCAAATGGTCACCTGTAAGTGCTGGAATGCATTATGAAATAAAACTGATTTTAACTGCACAAAGTCTTTGGATTTCAAGAAACTTGTCAAATGAAATACTGTATTAAATGAGAACTTTGAGGTAGATAAGGTTGGAGAAATATAATCTGTAATTTTTAGTAACAAAAAGAAAAATAGGACTGTAGGCATTAACCTGCATTAGAAGAGTAACGTTGAAGAGCTTAGTGCTAGGTGGAGGTTTCCTGGGTATTTTGCCAACTAAAAGGTCTGTCCAGGCTTCCCTCAGGCTTGCTGTAAATACTGTTTGTTAAGCTACAGGAATTTTAAGAAACAAGAAGGGGAGAAGCTGAGGCAAGAATGTGAGCCTTTTATTTAAAATTGTGCTGTAAACAAAATGCATGCAATTTAAATGAATTCTTTCAATTCCTCTCTAGAATTGTGGCTTAGTCCTGAAAGCATTTGGGGTATAGTTCTGGACCTGTTGGAATTTGGTAGAGCAGGCATGTACCCCAAGAACCTGATTTGTCTAAATATGTTCTTTTCTATTATTTTTTGACCAGTTACAGCCTATCTGTCCATACCCTCTTGTCCAAATCTGGCCAGACCTGGACTGCCACTTTATACCACTGAGCTGCTGCAGTTGATCTCTTACATTTTGCTCTCAGTAGCTCAAAGCAAATGTTACTGCCAGAGGGGAGGGTTTTGAGATAGAGTGATAGAAAGGGAATGGGACAGGAAAAGGAGGGGGGACTGGGAGCATTTGGGTGGAATTTTACTGGGACTTCTGCTTCCTTTTCAAGCCTAAATTCTGTGCCTTTCCTGACTGAGAACAGCTTGTATGGGAACAGTAGCAGTTTGGCAGAGAGATATTGCCGGTTCTGTTTTAGTTAAAGAGACACAGAGTTGGGAAGTACCAGCTGGCTCAGCAGGTCCAGTTCTGTTGCCATCTTGGGCAACTGTGTGATAGATTTTACTTTTTAAAGAGAACATCTTGTCTGCATACTGTTACACCATAAAATGCTTGTGGTGTGCCATAAGATTAGTAGAAAAAGACTCCAGCTGTAACTATGATAATGCAGAAAGAAAGCAGGAAGGATTAATGGCATTGCTATTTCAGGAACCGTTAGGTTTGACAGGAGTGTATGTTGGATCTTATGACTTTTTTGAGGAGTAAACTGTGCTTTACACTGCAGAGGAGGGCCAAAAAGGACATGGGAGAAAAGAGGCAGTATCTTGAAATCTGATGGGACTCTCTCCCCACCCTGGTAGCTCCAGATCTAGAACTGAGTTTAAATCGCAAGCATGCCAGTATGATGGATCAGCCAGGGCACCTAGGAGAATATTTTATCAAGAAGAGCCCTAGTGCTGTAGGTCTACATCCTGTTATAGGTATGGCTAACTTCTGTTCTCATAACTGTTCTCAACATTTGTTTAGCCTAGCAAAAAGGACAAGCTCTTCTGATTCATCTAAAGTAAAAGACATTACAGGTTCCTGATTATTATTCTTCTATTTTCTGCATCTGCTCCAGTTTAAGTTCCTGTTGTTGAATACATATGTGCAGTTCTAGTCATCCAGTATTTCATATGAGGTCTTTATGCTTTGTACAATTCTATTGATACTTCCCTGTTTCTACTAAAAAAAGACTTTTTAGTGCCTTTTAGAGCTGCGCAACTAGCTCATGCAGTTACGTGTAGTTGCTGTTTTGGTTTTCCCTCTGTTAGGCAGACTAGCCAGCTATTTCTTCTTCCTTCACCTCTGCTTTATAGCTGTAAGTTTTATGATTGATACCTTCCAACTTTGCATATTTTCTAGTATGATGATGTGGTCTTCTTCAGAGTCGGCAGTATCTTCTGACTTCGCTGTCAGTTCTTGAAACACACCTTATATTTTTACTCTGATTGCATGCAAATTGGCTTGTGAAGCAAACATGCTGCCTAATGATGATTCCTTTCTATCCCGATAACTTCTCTCTTAAGATTTTCCTTCATACAACTGCTGTACTGAATTATTTGATTAATTCTTATTCTGTCTGTGTGATTAAAATTCCTAAAAAGTACTCACATCTGCTCAAGTCTGCTCCCTTATCCCTTTCTAAGAAGCCATCTATCAGGACAAAATGGGATTACTGTGATATGTGCTATTTGTAATGTAACTCTTCTATAATTTTGCTGCTATTTCTATGCCTTGATGTCCCTAATCACTGTCCTTAATTATTTTTTTCAAAATCTATTCTAAGAATACATATAAGTTAAATTAATGTCTATAGTTGGATGAATACAATGCAGTTGTTCTGAGTATAGATAATGGGGTTTTTTATTCTGTTATAGTGCCATAACTTTACAGATTCATAAAAACGTTTGATAGTAGATTTATACTTTTTACAACATTAGTCCTACTCTGAGGGGGGGGGGTGTGTCTGTTCCAACCTGTTATTTCCTAATTCTTTGAGCTCCTTGTTCAGTGAGCTAGGATGACTAACACTTGGAATTCCATGTTCTTTTCATTTACATTGGACAACTTCAGCGTGTAAGTTTTTTTTCATCTCTGTGGTTAAATAGCAGTATCTTTGTTAGGGATGCTATTAGAATCTTCATGTACACTTGCTGCATTGTCAAGAGTTTCTTCGATGTTTAGGACACATGCAAAATGGTATCCACCAATTTCAATACCACTTTACCACGCAGCATTTGTTTTTTTTCACACTTTTATCTCTGAAGGTTTTTTTGGCTTTTCTCTTCAACATATGGATTTATATTTCATTGAATTATTGAAAATAACATGCAATATCTCTTTTTTCCCCCATCTGTAAATGGTTCTGGGCATGTGTTGTCTTCTGTATTCAAAGCATGCCTGGTATATGGCAACCTAACCTCTGCTGCTATGATGTTAACAACTTTACTTTCCCCTTGATCTCATTGCAAAATGGTAGTGTCACAAAAAGAGGTGTGTTAAACTCAGAATTGAATTGAAAGTGGTGTCACCAGTAGGAAACATACATGGCCTTAAAATATTTAGTCAAACGTTTAGTTCTGGCTGTAGCACACAGAATGTTTGAATAACAGTCCAAGATGAAGTTTTATGCTAGTTCACACAAGTCTTCTCACTTCCAACTGAATCTCCTTCTCTTAGAATTTGAGTCATTCAGAAATAGTCATAGTCTCTGGTTTTGCTTATGTCAAAATAAATGAGGTGGACGTAGGATTTTCCTGCACTTTTGACGTTCCTAATCTAATTCTGTTTTATTTGAGTAGGTTTGAATTTATTTTCAAATGAGCTTTGTACTTTTAAATATTTTAGGCTGTGTTTGTCAGAATGATATCACTAATGTAAGTATGAACTTTACTCTTTGTGGAAAATAAAAGTCTGAAAAATGTTAACGTAAACCAGAAAGTACTAAACTGGCTCTTACCCAACTTAATATTGCAGATGTTTTGGAGTCTGAAAAGACAATTTAAGGGATTTGAAAAAGAAACAAGTGGGGGCTGAGTGAACAGAGTAAGTGTGCGATTGTCAAAGTGACTCTTTGCAGGTTAGCAGCCAGTGAGGGCCAGGAAGCTGTGGAAGTGGCAGAAGGATGCTATAGCAAAGGTTGCTAGGCTACTGCCAGGGAAGCACTTACAGAGCTCTACTCAGCTATGCCGAGCATTTTTACTACCCAGCTGCTAAGTAATCTGTGTAGAGTATTGCTGTTTTCCTGGCTATCGGCTGGAAAGGGAAGTTTGAACTGCTAAGAAACGTTGTCCCTTTGTAGGATGAAACTTGGCCACATGCCAGTTATTACCTTTTGCAAGACTGACTGTTTTTGGTTTCGGTCACATTGACTGACAAGGAATGTCAGGAATTCTGCTGAACATGTTTGAAATGGAATAGCAAACAATAGGTCTTTGATTCAAGTATAAAAGTATAAAAAACTCTTGCATGAATTTAACTTGTTCTGGTGGTGCTGACTGGTGAGCTCTTGGTTTGTCTGTACCATTTTGGCTTTAATTTCTTCTACTCTGTGTTAAGAAGCTTACTGAAAATGGAATGTGGAAAACGATTTATTGCAAATGCAAGGTCAGTTTTTTCTAAGGGAAGGTAATTCTTCATCTGCTTTTGTATTAATGGGTTTCCTGTACTGTGTTTTGCCATACATATAGTTGGAAAACACATGTATTTACGATTCTTCTTATTTGTAACTTAGCCTGTGATCTTTGTCCCAGGAGATGATTTTAACAGAAAGTTAAATCTAACAGTTACTACTACAGACAGGGACAGAGGAACTGAATATGGAATTAAAATTATGGTGTGTTAATAATGATTACTTTGCACCTGTTGTCTTTCTCTTTGTGAGCTCTAACACGATAATGCAGTTCTTTTTCCTTTTAACACAGTTTTGTGAAGGTGTATTACAACTCTGCCAATACTGTTGTGTAATGAGCAAGTCAGACACTGAATACACACTGTAGGATGCAACAGCAAAAAAGATAATTTACTGTAATGCCCATGAAGGTGCAGTGGATATGATATGCAGTGGTAACACGGATTTGATCCAAGTGCAGTGTCCTGTTGCCAGTTGTGGACTCCCAAGCCAAGCTAATTCCCCTGATACAATCTCCCAACTTGTACTGATTTGTGGCCTGGGGATTTCTTGACCTTAAAGCCACTTTTTTGATGTAAATGCTCTTAATGGAGTTGTCTTCATAAATTTGTGTAGGTGCTTTTAAATCTATGTAAAATAACAATATTCCCATACTATGCCAAGAATTCCAAAGTTCACCTACCTGTGTGTTGTGTGAACAGCTGCCACGTGTTTGATTCTTATCTGCTAATTTTGCTTGATGATGTCCGTTTCTTGTGCTGAGAAATGCTAAAGAATTGTTACCTATAGCTTCCTTCATTCCATAGGTGGTGTTATAGATGCTGTTCTTAGCTGTTTCTTTCCCTAGGGGAAGACTCCCTGTCTATTAACCATTTCTTGTAGCTGTGGATATGCTGTTTTGAGCACCCTGGTTGTGTCCTTCTCTGCCTCTTTCAGTTCTGTTATATACTTTTTGAGATGAGTAGGAGCCAGGATTGGGTGCAGTATTAAGGGCAGATTTTATACAGTGATGTAATGTGTTCTGTTTTGTTTTCTAAGTCTTTTATAAGAATTCTTAACATTTGTTTTTGTTTTACTACTGCTGCTATTTTTATTACTTCAGAATCTCGTTCCAAAGTGAATAACTTTTTCACAGCCTGTCATCATCTGGGTGATGTTAGGATTCCAGGCTTTCTTAAACTTAAGTGCTTTATTTTACATCTCTTTACAATAGATTTCTTTTGCTGTTTTAATATCTACTCACACAGTTGCATAAAGAACTCATGACACTGTAGGTATTTCTCACTTTTATAGCTTAGAATTATCAAAAACCTTTTTCATGTTTATAAAAACTGCAATAATATTTTCACAATATTTAAAGTATACAATTATCTGTGCAGCACAACTTGTATGTGAAATTAATAACAGAACTGGATATTTTTGATTGCCATTGCGTTAATTTACAAACTCAATCTTTTGCAGTTTTGTTGCTAGAGAAGATGGAACATGATGACATTTGTAATAAAACTCTGAAGATTACAGACTTCGGTCTGGCTAGAGAGTGGCACAGAACAACCAAAATGAGTGCAGCAGGGACTTATGCATGGATGGCTCCAGAAGTTATCAAATCCTCCATGTTTTCTAAAGGAAGTGATATTTGGAGGTAAGACGTTTGTCTGCTTGAAGACCATGTTCAGTAGAACTATATTGAGGTCTTTGAATTAATTTTTATTTGGATTTTTTTTGGTGGTTTCCTAGGCTATTGTCTCAGCATATGGCAAGTACAGCTGTTCTAAGAAACATATTAATTTCTCATTATGTAGTTCATTTGATCTACCTTTAGTTATTCATGATTTACAAATTGGGGAAGGGGGAGGGGAAAATAACAGAAAAACTTTTTTTTTTTTTTTTTTTAGAAAGCAAGATCTCATTAAGAGATAAAAATATCTGTTGGCTTAGATACCTTTTATCTGTAGTATTAATATAAAACAGCCATATGGTCTTGATACATTAACATACAATTGATGTTGTATTGGTATGTTTACTTTATATCAGATGTCTGAAAAGTCTCATTCTGCGTAAAGAAATGGGACCAGCCAGTTGTTTACCTTATATGTCTGATAAATAAAAACGAGCTGCAAACCAGAACTTTGCCAAATATTAACTTAAATTAGTGCTGTTTTTAGGAATCTAGAATGTTGTTATGTGTAAAAGTGAACATCACATCTCAGCTTTTAGTAGCTGGAGTGAGAATCGTGTGTTCAGCACAAAATTGTTTTAACTTGCTCTCTAATTTTACAGGTGGGGAACTCCCTATGTTAAATTTGTAATTTCTTGTTAAAGACATTATTGTGGATCATATAAGTAATATGACTCTCAATACTGATGCTATTTTTTAGTGGTGTAGTGAGATATGTGTATTGTAGAAAGGTAATTTAAAATTTAGTTTTAATTTAGTTCTGTTTGTGAGTGGGGAGAAGCAGTGATTGCAAAATAGGTTATAAAAGCTGCTGTGCCTCACCCTGAAAAGTCTACGTTTCCTTTCTTTTTGAAATGTTTTCTCTCTAAAGGATCCAAAGTAGCTATTCGGGGAAGGAGGGAGGGATTTTAATCTGTTTTCTCATGCCTTCTTATGCATGTTCTGTATTGTATAATTCTTAAATAGGGTCCAATTTTGCTTAGGTACCTGATATTCGACAGCATGAAGTAATACTTTTGGTATTCTCAGAGTGATTCTATATCTGCACTACTGTTTTGTGACACCCATTTGTCTTGTATCTGGAACTGATTTTCAGCATTTTGTTTACATCAGTCTGAGTTGATGTCCAGTTGAGAAACATCTTTGGCTTCATTTCTTTTTTTTCCATTCTTTCTTCCCTTTTCTTTTAAATTTTTTTTCTTTTGCGGGGTGGAGGTTGGGTGTAGGCGTTTCCCTAATCAGCTGTATTCCATGCTTAATTACAGGTCCTGTCCAGTCTTGTTGCTGTGATTTTAGGTATCTGAGGGGGTATGCTTTGGTGCAATTATTTTATATTCTGCTGCAACATTAGTTTACATTTTTGGAACCTACAGTATTTCTCTTCTTCGCCTTCTCTCCTGCACGCCTCTCTTGTAAAAATGTAAGTATTTAGCTCAATGATGGACATCTAACAGGAGAGGTTTTTAAGTAGAAAGGCTGTGTTGTACAGTATAGTTTAGACCTTCTTGGCTTCTAAAGATTTCCTGCTTACTGCACCTTGACCTATTCTGTTGCTTATCTTTACTCTTTCTTTAAAAGAAAAACAAATAAAGAATACCCTGGTTATGGGAGTGTGCTTTGTTTTAAAATGCATTCGGGTTATATAAGGTTACAAATTTAAGTATGAGCCTCTAAGACAAGAACACAGTATATGTCAGGAAAGTTCTAAACTTCGGTTACACATACTGAGTACTGAGTCACCAAAAGAAGTCTGCAGAGCTCTTACTGAAGAAGAAAAAAAAAAAAAAAAAAAAGCAGTTGAGGCTGCTCAAGTATACTCACACTTGCAGCTAGTCTTCCAGAATCAGCCAGTGCTTGGAAGTGTTGTGGGAGTATTTTCGTGTAGAGCCTTCCAGGCTGCATGTTCTCAGGTGTCATCCTAGATAGCAGAGCTGGTACTTTCCAGGCCCTGCATGTGTATCCTTTTGCTTCCCAGAGTTATAACTACTGCATTTATTATTTTTTGTGTATGCGTCCAAATTCCGAAACAAGAATTGTACTCTTTCAGCCCTACCCTTCCATTGATCATCACACATTTCTTAGAGGTATGTCAGTCTTGGGTTTGTGTATGGAGACTGAAAGTGCAAATATGCCCACACATTTCCAAGTGCCGGTGGTGTGCTTCAGCGGTGGTCTTTACAGTAACACATGCTTCCACTGTACAAGCTCTTGGCAAAGCTAGGAAGCACTTACTGTACAGCAGAATTAGCAGCTGCTTTTGCCTGGCACATTCATATACTTTTGAAGTGATTCATATAGCAGTGCTTAGTAACCTCTGCTTTAGAAGATAGACTGTAGAGTAAAATAAACTTTGAGAACTTCAGTTACCTTCATTTTGATCATCTTTTAAAACATGTAAAAACAAGTTATTGCTGGAATGAGATACAGTAAGGCTTATCACATTTGATGGCAGGAGAATAATTTTTAATAATGAAAATACTTAATGCACTTTCAAAAAGATGTCCTTTTAGTTTTCGTGGGTTAGAAATGTATAATTCAAGCATGTTATGTCTTTATTTTTGGCCTTTTGCTAACAATGGAGAAGGAGATGGCTTTTGCTCTTTTAAAAAAAAGCTATTTCTTAGAAACTTTGACTGTATACATAGGACAACTATACATGGGCTGGTGAAATTTAATGCACAAAGTAGCTACTTCTGTAGTTAAGAGAGTTAATAAGTAGTTGTCCCAGATAATGATAGATTAGTACCTTCCAAAAACTCCAGCACGGCAGACTAGAATGTCTTTAGGGTTCCTCCTCACAGTTTTCCCGCACAGCGCTGGCTTTTGTTACTTGATATTAAGACTACTTTCATTAAAAGAGACGCTTTCAGGCTATTACTGTATTGGTCTGTTTAAAATTTTACAACCACCTTCTTGGCATTGTTGAAAACTACTTAGGATTAAAGGCTTGAATTGTAAATACAACTAAAGCTAATAGTGTGACACAACTTTTTATAAAGGGTGATTTCTTTTTAGTTACATATATTGTTCTGCTGAACTTAAGAGTTCATGCTAAAATATGTATAGAATAGTCTGAACGAGGGAATTTCTTGAATTAAGAACAGTCTACACTTGTGGAGAGAGCATGGCATTATTTTCATGTTTTCTCTAAGCACGCAGATGAGATGTGGTTCAGTAGTATTCCTCCATCATGCATAAAATGTGTATGTACTGCAGGAAGTGTTGTACTCATTAGTGTCAGAAGTACCACTGAATTCAAACAAAATTTGAATTCTTTGTTTTATCCTTCTTTGAGTATACAAGCAAGTGCAGAGGCTAGACTGGAAAGAATTGTGAGGAAATTATTAAGAAGCCCTTTTATTTTTTATTCTGTTGTTTAGGAATAGACCATATTCATCAGCTTTTGATTAACTATTAACACTACTAGGACTTTGTGATAGGCAAAACTTCTTAGATGGACAGAAAGTTGATAAACAAAACACTGCTGATATTTATGCTGATATTGTGTAGTTTGCTGTTTGATTATTTATTAAAGTGATGTTGTATGGTCTTGCATAAAGTTGAATGACTTTTTCTCATTGAGGAGAGAGTGACAGAAAAACTTAACAAGTGTGTGTTCTTCTCCCTGTCACATCTGCTGTAGTTAAGGTGGTATTTCTAGTACTAAAGGGGGTACATAGTAAGAGAAGGGGTACATAGCTCTTACCTCCCCAGTGCTGTGTGCATTTCTCATATAGGAGAGTTCGATCCAGTCCTGCAAAACTTGCAGTAAGTTTCTTCACACGCCTGGAGAGAAAGGGCAAGAGCAATACTTCGTATTGTTTTTTTCCCTTTGTCTGCTCACTTTATTATTCAAAAGCAGCAATAGGTTGTCCTTTGTATCCTTGTTCTACAGAAAGTGGTTCCCTGGCAGGAAGAGAAGCCGGGGGGAACCCCAAAAACAGTCATAAAGTCCACTTTAGGCTTAGATTCTAAAAGGAGTAATTCCTGCTTCCACAAAAATGACTGTGAAAGCTGTCCATTTCAGTGGTGGTGGAAATAGGAGCTCTAGAGCAACAGCAGCAAGCACTTTTTAGTGGGGTTGGATCACTTGAGCAAGCCATACAGGTCCAAAGAAGGTAAAAGCAATACCCAGCTCTTCTTTTAGAGTGGAGCACATAGCAGAAATTCTTACAATTAATGTTGCTGCAGTAGGAATTCCGATGATACTTGATTTCCGTACCTGATCCTGAGAAAAGATCTCTTCATGCCACCACTTTTCACTGGAGGCAATGTTGTTTTGTTTGTGGGGTTTCTTGTGTTTTGTTTTGTTTTCCTAGCATGGAGAAATTAGTTGTGTGTCTGTAATCATTTCTCAATCTTGTTGCATCTTCTGTGGGAGGTGAAAAGTTAACAGGCCTTTATATAACACAAAAGAGATTAGAAATGCAAACTTCCAAACAAAGCTGGGGCTTTTCTGGTGTTTTTAATTACTTTTTTTTTTTTTTTTTAATTAATGTGTACGTCTAGGTAAATTGTTGGGAAATGCTTGGAAAGGGGAATGGCCTGAACGCTCTTCTGAGGTTTTCTTTTTTTTTGCTTGGTTTGCTTGTTTTCTGGTGAGGAGAAGGTTGCTTGTTTTCCTGTCATTCAGATATCTGACTAAGTGAGATTCACATGATACTAGCATTTGTATAAAAGTGAGTTCAGGCTACATTTTGAATAGGAGTGAGAGCCAATCTTAGAGTCACATCCAATTTGGTTAATTGCTATTAGTGAAAAGGTGCAAGATGACTAAAGTAGAGCTGACTCTTAAAAGACATTCACCTTTGTCATGGGAAATCATCGTGAATTTCAGTGCATGGTTGGACAGATCCTTGTTTGTTCTTGAGTAAACAATGTGTCAGTATTCAGAAAATAACTGTTAAAAAAATTACCTTTTGTAGTTATGGAGTGTTGCTGTGGGAACTGCTTACAGGAGAAGTTCCTTACCGTGGCATTGATGGTCTTGCTGTGGCTTACGGAGTTGCTGTCAATAAGCTTACTTTGCCCATACCATCCACCTGCCCTGAACCATTTGCAAAATTAATGAAAGGTATGTATCCTTGCCCAGAATAGTTACAGGGTTGGAAAATAAACACCTCATTTGATAATGTGCTGTGTACAGAGTATTTTGGTTTTTCTTTATACAGCAATCTGGTGTTACAGAGAGTTGAATGTGTTTTTGAGGAAGTCACACAGTGTTACTGTGCACTGCATAAGTTCTTCAATAGTGATAAAGTACATTTTTGCTCTGGTTATACTGATTTCCTTTTACACTCAAATTGCATTAATTTTCATAAGGTACCGGATATACTTCAGGAAGAACTGCAAATGCCATTTTTTCCTCATTGTTTCTTTCTGACTGTCAAAAATGTTTTGGAAATACTTAGAGAGAAATAAACATTACTTGCTAATGTCTATTTCCTTGTGTTTAATGAACATTTTTACCTTTTATATGTATCCCTTCTGTGCAGTACTTCTAGTTGCTGTTTCAGATCCTAAAGATAGAAATGAAAAAAAATTGGTTATTAATACAAAACAGTCCTCTGACTACTGGTAGGTAGATATCACTTCTGTAAATGGAAAAAGAACCAGGGAAGCCTTGCAGTTAAAGGGAACACATTAAAACTTGAAGTACAGTAGCAAGTAACTTGAAATTCATGTGGTTCTTCAAAAAGTTCTGTGTACTATTAAAAACTGATGGGATTTTGATAAATTCTAGAATGCTGGGAGCAGGACCCTCATATCCGACCATCGTTTGCCTTAATTCTTGAACAGCTTACTGCCATTGAAGGGGCAGTTATGACTGAAATGCCTCAAGAGTCTTTCCATTCCATGCAAGATGACTGGAAATTGGAAATTCAGCAGATATTCAATGAATTGAGGACCAAGGAGAAAGTAAGTTGATTATTCCAATTGCATGGCAGTGAAGGAAGGATGTGTGTATATGCAATTATGTGGTAACAGAAGTTTTGAACTTTTGAATTGTGACTTGCAAATATAATACTAGAAGTCTGATTTAGTGGAGATACATTTGAGAGGATAAACTACTTGGAAGAGAGGATTTACTGTCTCATTAAAACAATGTTAGTTTAATTTGCCTATTCTTGTTGGTGGATGTACTATTCTTGAACTCCGTTAATATGTTTCCGGACATATGAACAACACTTTTAAGATAACCCTGTAAATGTCTTGCAGCAAACTTACTTTGGAAAAAAAAGGTTGCATACTGGTTTTCTCAAATTTCAGACAATGTTGCTTTTCCCCTTTCTTCCTTAACAAAAACAGTAAACAGTTCTGTATGCTGAAACTATAGCTAGAGGTGTTTCATTTGAAGTGAAATGTTAAGTTTGACAGGAAGCGTAATGTTATTACAATAAATGAGGGTTATCATATGCATGGCTTATTTGAGAAGTACAAGCAGTTGAAAAAGAAACGTATTCACACCTGTCTCCCCAGAGGAAGTAGGGTGTAGATCTGTAAATATGGCACGTAGGCTCTTTTTAAAATGTGGGGTTTTTTCCTTCAATGTTTGAATGCATCACTTAACAAAGAAACCAGAGTTTATTTACCCCTTAGCTAATCTTTATAAGCACTGCAAATTTTCAGCTGCTGCTGAACAGTCTCCTCAGCTGTGGGAATGAAAAGCTTTTCATCCTGTTATATGACTCTATCACATGGCTTCTTTTCCAAAAATGGAATAGTGCTTTTATCTCTCTTCTTCCTGAACAGACTGACAATATTGATCTCTTTCGGTGTTGCAGTTTTGGAAATCTTCTTGCCAGATATTAATAAGATCAATTAGGTCAAACTTATACTCATGAATCAGCAAATCCATTTTCTCTTGTTTATTATCCAGATTCCTCTCACTGATCTTCTTTCCATATTATCATATCATGTTATGTTTGTGCTAAATGAGCACTTACTGTTAATTCTCTTTGCCCTCTCTTTTAGTTACTTCCACTAGTTTTTAATCACCCTGAGGTTTATATTTTCCTTTAGACAACTTGTCAAAAATAACAGTTGGAATAGGCCAGATATCCTTTTGAGTCCCTGTTAGAAATGCTTCTAGTAGAAACAGATTCCTTCTTTGCAAGTCTTTCTTGCAGTATAATTATTGCCCAGTATATATTTGTTGTTGTTTTTCATGAAGTGGTAATAGATGAGGAAGAAGAGAATTGAGATGCAGTGACTTGTGAAGAAATCTTTGTAAAAGACGTAGTCACTTAACTTTGACAAAAGCAAAAACGAAACTCTTGTCTTGCAAGTCAATGTCAGTAGCCTCTGTCCCTCACTTCTCATCGTGTGTCACAAATGGCTGTTTGTGGACTATTGGCTGGAGATGTGTGTGACATTACAGATCTACTATAATATCAGCATATGTGGTATCAGAATTTATTGATCACCCCTAAGATTGCAGTATCATCAATAATGATCTTACATACTTCCTATCTGCCTTTTCTTCCACCTTCTGCTTTTCCCTCTACCATTTTCATTCACAGAACTGGGTAAGTGTTTTCTGTGTGGTCTCTGCCCTGCCTGCAGCGGGCATACATATTGCTAGAGCTGGGCTGAGTGCCTCTGGAGCTGTCAGATCTCTTCCTTTCCATATGGGTTATAGTCCCTCTACAAAGAGTAGAGACTTTCCTTTTTACATGCTGTGGGGTCACCAGCCACTGCGTTTACTTGCCACAACCTGCCATAGGCCATAATTCTCTTTTCTGCCCCTCCAGGAACTGCTCAACCAACCGTTTTCCCCTTTTTACTCTGGGAGCGTTCCTGTTCAGGTTTTTGGGGTTTTTTATTTTTTTGTTTTCTGGAGACATTAGTCCAGTATGAGATTTCCCATTGAAGAAAAAGCTGACTAAATCAAGCTTGGGATTAACTAAGTCGGCACAAAGCTTTGGGAGAAGAGTCATATTTTTGGTGTAAAAGTGAGTTAAGTTTAATTAGGGAGCAGGAAAGATAAAATGCAATTTACTTCTCATATGCCAAAGTAAATGCATCTGCCCAAATTAGATAAACCTGTTAAAGAATGAAAGCATGTAAATTTGACTTAGACAAGGTTTTCGTATATGCGGGCTTATTTAATTTGGCACATTATCAATTTTACTGACAGGCAGTAGGGAGAAAGTAATGTCTATGAAGTATTTATATAACAATAAAACAAACAAAAAAACCCTGCATGGAGTCTCATGCCCTGTAAAAGAGGAACTTCTGTAGCTGGAGGAGTTTCCTCAAGGGCTTGCTGTAAATGAGCAGTGGTGACGCCCACTCCAAGAGAAGATCACAATCTTCTTTTCACAAACGTTCTTGAGCAACTTAAATACAGAATTCTTTCCTAGCTTCCTTACAATGATGTTTTAATTGTAGAGTGGTGTAAAAACATTGCATAACTAATTGCACTAAGTCTGTTTTTAATTAGTTTATTTGGAAAAGAGTAAATACTTAATCTCTCAGTGAGGAAACACTATTCCTTTTTCTAGACTGTCTACCTTTTTAATATGGGCCCTCAATTTTTGCGTAGTTACTGAGCTTTATGAAATCTGGATTTGAGGACAACAAGAGGCAGATAATCAACAGTGTCTCCTAATAAATCTTTATTACAGCATTAATACAGTAATAAACACCTTTTCTAGTTAAACTCTAATGTACTCAAATGCCATTTTTAATTGTCAGTTTCTGTCCAGGTAGCATTTACATAATCATATGCAAAAATTAAAAAATTCTGAAGAGCGTCACATAGAGTATCAGTCATATCATAGCTTCTCCTTTTCCTGTAGTCTCTTTTATTAGCATTACTGACTACAACACTTCTGAGTAAGTCTGTGTCATTCATATGCCCCATACCATGAAGGGAGGTCTACTTAAATTTCAGATATATTTTAACATATTTTGGAAGCTGAAGATTGAGGTAATTTTAAGATGGTAGGTTTACAGTTGTTTAGCCTTGGGGATTCATTTACCCTGAAAAACTAACTAGCTTTCTCACTAAAGCTTTTCCTTCTCCAAAATAAAAAAGAATAAAGGGAAAATAACAACTATTCTATGGGATTGATGGTTGGAGAGTCTATGTGGTATATAATTCAGTGGTTAGCAGCTGTTTGATGTCATACAGATACCTGCTAGATTTTAATTAAGAAACAGCTGTCTTCTGTCGTATGACTTGGTTTATCCTATTACACTAATCCTCATTTGGTATAATACTGATTGCTTTTCTAGATAGAAAAGTGCTAGTTAATACATGACTGAAAAACAGGAAAGGTTAGAAAATTTAAGATAAGGGCATTCATTTGTGTATTTGTCAGGTCATTGACTTTGTTAGTGCATAGGAGCTATCTAAGAGCAGTCCTCATGCTATGAAACAGTCTCTGATGTGAAGTACTTTGAGCACGTTTTCTGCTAGGCTCTAAGCTGTTAATCTTTGATGGGATGTGTTGTCCCCATTGCCAGTGCTTACCTACCTTAAGTAAAGTGACTGAAGTAGTTAAAAGGAAATCTGTATAATGCCTGATTCCATCTGGATACAGAATCTTGGCTTATGCTGAATGGAGGACTGTCAGAAGGTCATATGTGCATGTTACATGTGTATAGTGCATCATGAAAATAGATAAGGAAATACTACTGTGCACTTTATGTATGCTTTAATACAATCTTTACATTAGTACTTAGTTTCACTTGGGTGAATCTTATCCTCAGGAGCTTCGATCACGAGAAGAGGAGTTGACAAGAGCAGCTCTTCAGCAAAAATCTCAAGAAGAATTACTTAAGCGCCGTGAGCAACAGTTAGCAGAACGTGAGATCGATGTACTGGAGCGTGAGCTGAATATCATGATATTCCAGTTAAATCAAGAGAAACCCAATGTAAAGAAGAGGAAGGGCAAATTTAAAAGAAGCCGGTTAAAACTTAAAGATGGACACAGAATTAGTTTGCCTTCAGGTTTGCAATTTTTTAAAAGTTCACAATATATGTTACAAGTAAATATGCAGGCTTCAGTTACATGGTTAATTGGCTACTATTTTAATTCATTGCCAGGTCGCCCTACCTTAATAATGCAAAAGGATATGGTAAGAATTGTATAAGCCTTTTCTTCTTTTATTAAGAAAACAACTTTCACATATATTCTTGTGGTCCTCATTTCAGCTGGAAGAATATTTCACCTGATTCAGCAAGAAGTCCTATGTATCTGGAGGGAAAGGTTACTAGCATGGGAGCCAAATGATTTAAGGCTGCTTCGAAGCTCACATTTTTGCTATTGTTCTTTTTGTGCAGATAGAAAAGTACATTTTTATCATAGCCCAGAACTGTCTAACATGATCAAATATTAGTGCTGTTTGCCCTAACCTTGCAAATGCAGCACTTTGTAATGGCTGGAGGTACAGGTGTGGTCGGTCCAAATTGCATGCTTATTGCAGTCACAAAATCCAACACAGCAGCTGCAACCTCAGGTGTCTTCTTGCAAGAAAACGCTGTAATAGCAACAGAAAATATTATTTCAGAATACAAATATGGTATAATTTGAATGTTAGAGCATTTAATTCCACCCATGAGTGCATTAAAATGCCCCCTTTTTGCAAAGGAGGTGTGTTAGTAGAGAGACAGATTTTTTTAGTGTCAGGGACTGGTTTAGTGGTGCCTTTTTAATGTTGCCAGGAGATGGCACTACAGAAACTCAAGGTTACGCCAATGGTTGGAAAGCCTTCAGTTGTGGTACCAGCATCCTGGTGTCGATGGACTTGCATTTAGTGGCTTCCAGGTCAAGTCTGTCAGTTTATTACTAATGCAGTAAGAACTTAATGCCATGCTAACACAGGTCTGACCAAATCATAGCTGTCTGGTAGTTGGAAAGAGACAGAGGGCAGTAATATTTAGAGTAATGTTTCAGAACTAGTGAAATAAGGTTATTTTTCCTTGCTTTAAAAATAATAAAAGCAGTAAATAAAATAAATCATACTACAGCCTCCCAGAGAAGTATGTTAGATTGGTTTATGCTGGATCACGAGCTTAAACTAACTATTTGGTCATTTGTTTCCAGTTCGGCTCATATTTAACTTGAAAAAGTGATAAAAATAAACAGTTTTATTCAGAATACCACTTAGCACTCTGTTGTCAAGAATCACACAGATGAACTTGTCCTTGAGATGATTCTATTATAAGAGCAATTCTAATTGCTCCTCTATTAGAGAGAAGCATATCATCAAATTTTATTTCATAAAATTTTTCCTACTTTGTTTACTTTTTTTACTACATTGCTATAAGTATTTGTAATGCTGTAGTTTGGCTTGTTTTTCTCACATGTTGATAGATGTGACTTCTTTGTTAATGCTACTTTTTGTGTTGTACATGAATTAATTGTTAAATAAGGCAAATCTGATTGACGTGAATATTGATTGATTTTAGATGAAATATTGAGATTTTTCTTTCCCCCTGTGACAACCAATAAGATTGAATAGCAGCTTGTGATATGGACATGTCTCAGTTTGAGTCCACTTGGGCTTAACTGCTTTTGTTGAAGTTACTGCAAACCTATCATACAGTGTCTGTGAGGGTGTGAGTGAAATCCTGACCATTTGACTCAGTATCTAAATTGTTACATTAAGAGTTAGAGTTTCTTGGTGTTTTTAATATGAACTTATACTATCAAGTCTAATTCATTATATAGCTTTAATTGTTTAAGAAGTATAGCAGTATAATCTCATTAAGATTTTTTTTATTTGGAACATTAAAACTGATTTGTTTTACTCTTGTAGATTTCCAGCACAAAATAACAGTGCAGGCATCCCCCAATCTAGATAAGAGGAGGAGTTTAAACAGTAACAGCTCTAGTCCATCAAGTAGCCCCACAATAATTCCTCGTCTTCGAGCTATACAACGTAAGTCTCCACCATTTCTATTTGTTCATTTGGTCAATAGAAACTGTTTGTTCCATATACCCACTGAAACACTGATAGTAGTAGTATCAGATTCCAGACAGATTTCTGTCTGATTTCCAGGTCCCTTAACTTGTTCTAACAGTTGCAACTTGTTCTTTGATGGGAGGGATAATCTTGCTAAAATGCTGACTAATTTTCAGTAATTCAAAATTATTGTGAATGCTTTAAATCATATCTTTCCTTAATAACTTCAGGAGGTCATTTGTAAACTGACTGGGATAAAACAATGAAGAATCAAATTCAGTTTATGATGGCAAAAGTCAAAGCATCACATTTAGAACCCATGTAAGATGGAAAACAAGTTTTTATTAGGTATTGGAGTTGGTAAAGGAAATTGGTTATGGACTATTAAAAGGGAGGCAAAAAAGAAAGATTCAGAGAATAAGGGACTCATGTGAGGTGGAAAGGATGAAGAATCAGCCAGCAGCTGAGCTTGCTTATGTCAAAAGAGAAAAAAACTTTAAGCAAATACAAAAGCAGAAGAAAATAGTAAAGAAAGCTTGCTTTAGGTTTTTTGAAAACAAGAGGAAGAAGCAAAAATAAAATCGTGGGTATACTTGTAGGCCTACATTATTCCATGTATAGTGACAAGGGAACGTGTGTTCATGCTCATGTAGGGGAGGTACCATGAATACGGAAGAAAACTGATCATATTACAGTGAAGCCTGCATTTATATTTGGGAATGACATGTATAGATAGAAAACAATTCCTACAGGATTAACTGCTTGCATTCGTACTGTCTGATATATTGTGCAAAGTAGATTGTCTAATTGTCCATATTTGGCATGGAATGCCATGCGAAATGAAAAAGCCTCAAGTTTCTCTCTCTATATGAAATCAGTGGAACCTGTTCCAGCTGTTTGCTTATGGATGGTGACTATGTTCTCTTGCAAGGGTAGTCACCTCCGAAGGAAATTACTTCAGAATCTGGCTTTATCAGATGTAACTAAGGAGGACAGGAAATCAAAATGCATGTTTGGTTGTTTTTTTTTTTCCTGCATACTGTTCTGTAGCTAGTTTAAAGGGGTTTTTGTTTGTTTGGATGGTTTTTTGAAACTTTGTTTAAAGTCTGGATAGAAACCAGATCACTGATCTCCTTTGGAATACCTCTGCCTTATGAAATCCTTTTCATTATTAATGTCTAAAGGAGTAGTGTCTTTTCTGACAGTAGCTTTATTATTTGTTTGAAATGTAACTGATACAGTTCCTTCGGCGAAGACCATTACTACCCATATGTTGTGGATAAAAGAGAGGTGGGCAAACTCTGTCTTGCTTTTCTTAATAAAAATTTGAGATGGAAGGAAAATTGTGTAGTCTTTTTTCAGTAGTTATCTGAGACAGTATCTGTGTTGGTAATGGCTTCCTAACCTAAAACTGTGTGGTGGGTTTATTTGGTTAGTTACTTTTTACTGCAGAAAGGTAAGAAGGGTTTTTCTTAGTAAAATGTCATAATTACATACAAACAAGACTGTTTTGCTTTATCTTTGATTCTCTTTGCTCTGTATGGAAATGCTTGAAAATAAAGCAAATGTCGGGTATTGGCATGATTCTGAAAACTTGAGTTTGTTTTTTTAAATGCATAGCCTTATGGAAGCTATAGCAGCGCCACTCCTTGCATGTGTGCTAAGTGCCACAGGGGATTTTTCTTTTTTTTTTTTTTTTGTTATTTGAGCAGGCATTTGTATTTGTAGGACCAGAACATGCAGGACAACATGAAGGCTCTCCTTTAAAAATACTCTTATGTTTCTGAGTTTGGATCCCTAGGCTTTACCTAAAAGCTTATCAGATCTCTCAGGAGTATCTAGCTGAAACAATTCAGCTTCCACACCCATCTGCACCTGTGCAAAATAAATTCTCTTTCCCACAATAATGTTTTATCTTGATTTAACTTCAAAGTATCTTTGTTTCAAGAAGACTTGCTCAAATACAGGTGATTTGAACAGGCATATCTAACAATTGGTTACCTGATTGCTTCACCTTGTCATGAGGGAGTCTAGCTTCCAAATCTAAAAGATCTTAAGTTAAAATAAGAATGTAGTTAATTGTAAATCTTGTTATTAGAACAAATTCAGGTGATTTTGAAAGGTGTTTTAGAAGGAGGAGGAAAACCAGTAAGGTATATATTCCATAGGTCCTTGAATGTGGTTGAAAATGAGAGTGTAAAGAAGGCAAGTAAAGTACTGTTACTACAGGGAAGCTGTGTTGGCGAGGAGGAGTATGGTGAGGCAGGAGGAGGGTACTGTGCAGTGCAGTGCAGGAGCAGCAGAACCACGGGCATGTAAATGCCACCTTATTTATTGTGCTGTTATAACTGGCTAAGTTGTTTTTGTCTTGGGTCTCTCCATGATAGCTGTAAGCTTGCTATGTTGATAGCAAGTTGCTCTTCCAGTTAGCCGTATACAAAAATCTACTTGCCTGGGTCTGGTCCTAGAAAGAGGATCCTCTAAACTATACAGTAAAAACCTCTATCACTAGATGCTTAGTGCCTTTATAGGTCTGGGCTTTATGACTCAAAGATAAAAATACAAGAAGGGAAACACTTCCGTTTCTGAAATCAACTTGACTAAGATCTCTACTACATTCTCTTACTTTTTTCTCAGTGATTTCCAAAACAGATACACACACAGCTAATGGCCGAAGAAACAGTGTATATGTGTACCAGCAAGATGTAGATATCACAAGTGAATATGAACTTCCCAGTGGGGTTATGAAAAAAGGCAAGATTTCATTATGTTTCAAAGGTGCTGGTTCTGTTTAACTTAACAGTTGAGACAGTGACAGACTAAGCATTTAATGAAGGTTAGACACTTGAAAAGTATAATTTGGTTTGGAGTAGTGAGAAAGAAAACATTAATAATTGTCACAATTGGAATATTCTGTTTCATTTGACACCAGTTGTTCCACAGCATATATTTTCTTCATTGGAATTTAAGTGCTCAGTCTAACTCACTTGTCTGAATTACCTAAATATAAGGTTTTCAGTTAAAGGAAGCATGGAAAATATGATTGTTTTGCTGCTTTATCTTTAATTTGGGTCTCTTGTCAGCTCATAAATTATTTTTCTTGCTTGCTCATCTTTTTGGATCAGTGCAGTTTGTGTGGTGGTTTTTGTAAAAGAAAAAAAATCTCATATTTTATCTACTCCTCATTGTGTTACTCTGTCAGAATGATTTTGCAGTGGGGAAAATATTCTGTTCTGTCAAAGTATTTTGGTTTAGAAATATTATTCATGTGTGTGTGGTTTTTTGTTTGTTTTTACATCCAATCTCTAGTAACTTCAGATGAAAGCAACAGAACTTGGGGAAGGAGCACAACTTATCACCAAGAAGAGTTTGAAGATGTGAAGAGAAGTTTTAAAAAGAGAGGTTGTACCTGGGGACCAAGTTCAGTTCCAACAAAGGATCGTGCAGATTGTAAGGACAAGTATGTCTACTACATTTTGTTTGATAATACTAAGTGTTCTTGGTAACTGAATCACTAACATAGGTAGTGAGTGAGAGAAGTTCTGCCGTCTCTAGTAACAGCTAAAAGTCTGTCTCTTCTAGTGTGTTTAATTATTTATAGCGCTTTTTTTCTTAATAGAGCCATCCACTCACCTGTGGCAGTAGTTGTTCCAGACCATCTATTGAAACTGGCTTTATGATATTTTTGTTTGTTTTAAAGTCACTGTGTTTAGTAAATTTCAAGTATTCACATCACTTCTTTGACACAGTGAACTGTTGTCCAGGTTTTCACCAATTTTTAATAGGTAGTCAAGGTCCATTTTTCATTTGCTTTCCTTTTAGGCTATTATGTCCTGAAATTTTCATCTTATAAGAAATAGCTGATATAAGGCATGTATCAATTTATAATCATATGAGTCTGTGCTTTTATTTACATATTTTTTTTACCTTTGGAAAGCTTTATTGTTTTCAAGTTATGTACTACACGTTTATAGTTTAAAAAGAAAAATGTTCTAGTAATTTTCTGTCAAAGTGTATATAAGCATGTTATCCCCTGTAATGTCAAAATAACTATTCTTATTTCAGAGTAAGACCCCTTTCAGATGGCAGCAACCCTTGGTCAACACTTTTAATGAAAAATCAGAAGGGTGTTCCTTTAGCTTCACTATTTGTGGACCAAGGTAAGAGCTGTTTTTGAAAAAGTGAAAGTTGCAATGTAATGGCAGTAAGTCTACCTCCGGTGTTATAAATTGTATTGCTTGAATTCCTCAAGGATTATGCAGGTTATTAGAAGTCATGCCACAAATAATTTTCCTGTACAGAAAAACTCTTTATAAAAAAATGCAAGTCTTAAGGTCTTTACATTTCCATCATCAGCAGCTATGTGTGCACATGCATGGTGTGCAACCCATACCACATAATCATTTTTTTGTCACGTTTTTGAGTTGCAAGCTGCTCTGCATGAGGTCTGAAGTCACCACTTTTCAACTTCTTTTAAAAAGAAATATCTAAATCAGTAATTTCTTGACATTGAAATGACCATTAATGACTTATTGTTAGTGAGCTCTGCATAGTTATTTAAAAAAAATGCATAGTCATTTAAAAACTATAAGCCCTGATACATTCCCAATTATTAATTGGTTGGTTTTTGAATGAGACTTATTCTCTAAATTTTCAAGAAGAAATATGTAGATTTCAAGTCTTAAACTTGTTTAAGCAACATTTTGGGATGTACAGGTAAATCACAAGGAAAAACATACTTAATCCTTTTAGGATCAGGAGCATAACAGCTGTATGTTGCTCTTTATGTCCATTACTATAATGTGCTGTGCCTATACAATATTAATAATAATTTTCAAACTTGCACATACTTTCTATACCACGGATTCTCTTATCTGAGAAACTAAAGCTATCAATATCAGGAATAAAATTGTGATATAACTTGGTGTCCATACCAGCAGCTAGATTTATGCCAGCTGGAAGAGGAAATGGTAAGCTGCTTGGACTTCCCCCCCCCCCCCCCCCCAAAAGGCATTTTCATCTTCATTTATACTGGTAGGGGTATAAATCAGGGTTTCAGAGAGAGTAATGTTATAGATTTATTAGCTTACTACTAAACCCCGACATATAGAGAAGATTATACAAGTTTACATATTTTCATTTCAAATATTTCTGTGTTTATTCTGTAGCATTCAGTAGTTTATAGTCGAATGACACATGTAAGTCAAATTATACATTCTCTTTTATTTGTCATTAGGTGTGAGACATCAAATTTACTTTTTACTCCAGACCACCACGGCCTAATGAATTAATTGGAAAAATTTCTAGTAACTTACTGGATTTTGGAACACAGCTTAATTGAAAGTGGTGTAAAGAATGTGTTCCAGATCTTATCTGGCAGTTTGTGTATGGTAAATTACTTCACAGTAATCCATACACAGAAATATTTTTTGTGACTTGAAAAGCATTGCAAATTCTCAAATATCACAGAAAATGCAAAGACCATATCTGCTCTTCAACTGTGTTGAGTACATAAAGGTTGGGAGATGTTTTATGCCTTTCTTAAAGGTGACTCAGATGTGGAAAACATAATTTGTTTACAGTTAACTTATATACTCAGGAAGATTGATCTGCAAGTTGCTTCTAACAGAGTTTGCTTTTGAGTTGCTAAAAAGATGAAATTGTAGCAAAATGGTACTTCTGCTATTTTAAAGATTATCAAGAGAACATGAAGAAGTTCAGGCTTAGGATGCGTTTCTGAAACACACAATGTGAGTCTGAGCTTCTGACAGCATCTAAAGGGGTTGTACAGTACACCTCAAGGTTCATACTTGTGCAAATGAAAGGAAATACTGGTGTATATATGCAGACATGCAATAGTAAAATAGCTGAATTGCAATCCTAACGTCTGCTAATGTTTTATAGGTGTCTGTACTGATAAGAAACTTTTCCCTGAAGGTTTGGACAGTAAAAGACCAAAGCCAATTAAGTTGCCAAATCAGGCCTATATTAATCTACCTCTTTGGAAAGATGATCAGGGAGAGAATGCAGTAGAACATGAGAGCTTTGAAGAAGGAACCTCTGCTAGTTCTACAAATAGTACTCCTCAAATGACACCAACAAACAGTCTGAGCAGGACACTGCAGAAAAAGAAGACTGATTCAGTGCTGTATGGGTGTGCTGTCCTCCTTGCATCAGTTGCTCTTGGCATAGATATCAGAGCGCTGAACAAATCGCAGAGTCCAGATGAACTCTTGCCTAAAGATGAGAAGAAGAAGCGTGATGGAATATTTCAGCGTGCTTCAAAATTTCGCAGGAGTGCCAGTCCTACAAGACAGCAGTCCAAGAAAGAGGAAATAAGTATTCCATCCCTAAATACAGCTGCAAATACTGTGAATCTTCTCTCTATGCCCTCCATTTCGACAAAATGCCTGCTTCAATCTGACAGTGAAGATGCGTTTGTAAGCACTGTGCTTGGTGATTGTGGTTCACATAGTTCCACTGTTGACTTTTCATCTGAAACTTCTCAAAGTAAAAGAGAACAGAGGATACAGCTGGCTCCTAACACAGTTTCTACACGATTAAAAAATCAGCCTTTTAATCTTTGTCTGAAACAAGAATTTCAAAATGTGCCAAATGATTCCTCGACAAAATTGAGTGTGTTGGGTCACAGACGAACCTTATCAGATGGGAGCAATTTTAAGACCACAGGTGGGTAATTAAGAACTTAAAATGTGGGGGATTTTTAAGCGTAGACACAGAAAAAGTAGGGAAATTAATCATTCACTAATGAGTTGCTAAGTTTTTTGTTACACTGTTATGTGCTAGCTGAACCACCATAACTGTACCTGGGTAAGCCTTCTGTGTCTGAACCCTGAGTAAGCTACCTGCACTTGGAATAGTATCCTGTTAGGAGTGTGGGTATGGCGACTTAAGCGGAAGAGATGGTTCGTTTTAAGGCCATATTGATTTTTCTCAGGTATTGCAAAAATAGGTTTCCCATGTCTTTTCATGTCCATGAGAACCTGTTTTTTGTGAAATGTAAAATATTAGCATTATGGCTGAAAAACTGAGACTGTGAGGTGCATGCATCTGAGCGACCTGATCTAGTTGAAGATGTCCCTGCTTATTGCGGTTGGGGGGGGGGGCGGTGCTATAGATGACCTTAAAATGTCCCTTCAACCTAAAGATTCTATGATTCTGTAGTTGTGGACTTCCTGAGGCTGAGAGTACACATCTTTTAATATAGTTTCACAGTCCGCCTAGGTGGGTGATTGAACATCATTTTAGTAGTGCACTTTTATTAACATCAAGAAAAACAAGTCTGGTAAGTTTTGATTTGCTTGCTTGACCTGGAAGTTATGTCACATGTTCCATGAATTCTTAAGTAAAACTCTGATAAAAATTTAAGCTGAAAAAAATGTCTTTAAGTCTGGTTTCCATGTAAATGGATAAGTTCATGATTAATGAGTTTTTGAAAAGAAGTTCTGAATTTCAATACTGTTGTTCTATGGTGGCTTAAACGTAATATTTTTCGTGGTACTCTATGCATATGTAATTACTCTGCTTTCTCTATCTCTTCTGTAGCAATAAGAAAATAAATTATTATGGCCTCTAGCAAAGAGTATTGATGCAGAAATATTATTTGAGCACTGCTGGTCCTGTCTTAAGAGATTCCCCACAAATGGACGAGCCTCTTAGTTTTTCTGGTGGGGAAAAAACCCCACCAGTGTTTATGGCAATCCAGTTTCACGAATGGCAAAGAAATCAAGAAGTCACATGGTTTAATATTTTTTTTTGGCCTTTCTTTTCCCCTAGCTAATGGATTTGCTTCAACCAATGATGTCTCCACGTTACCAGTTCTCTCAGTTACTGGAACTCTGCACTCTCCGTCTGTTCAACAAAGAAGCAATCACAGTGGTGGTTCAACTGAAAAGCAAAGCGCTGTCAATATTATATCAAGGCCTCGACCTTCTTCTCTAAGAAGTAAAATTGATGCATGGCAGATTATTCCACATATTATTAAACCAAACTCTAAAGACTCTGAATATTTAGAGGGCAATGTAGATCCAAATGTTAACTTCTTGCCAGATACTGAGGAAAGAACTAACTGCCACATGCCCTCATTACTTGATATTGATGTGGAAGGTCAAAACAGAGACTGTACTGTGCCTTTATGTAGAATGAAGAGCAAAACTTGTCGGCCATCTATATATGAACTGGAGAGAGAGTTTCTGTCGTGAGTGCCTTTCATTTTAAAAATATTTGCTTTTTAAAGGGGAACAAATACAAAATTCTTGTCCATCTAATGCTTTGTGCTGCTATTTTTTGATGTACTGTGACAAATAGTACCAAAATTATTAAAATGGGCAGCTAATTAAGAAAGCGTAGTAGGTGCCTTTTTCAAGTGTTCCTTGGACTCCCAACTGGTAACTCTAAAAGCACAGTGCTGCAAAATAATATTCTAGGTGAACTTCATAAGCATATTTTGAATGACTGAAATAATATGCCCACCTCCCTCTGCAGTGTCACGGTAGTTCTCTTTAGGTTTGAAGGGTTTTGCTAGAAATCTAACTTTTGTACATTGAAAAAATGAATGACATACAGTTACATGGTGTTCCATCAAGAAGAGTTTCACCTAAGAAGCGGTTGTTTGCAGCTTGCCTCCATGACCTGTAGAATTAGGGAGGGGGGCAGAGGATTTAAGGTACTGGTGCAGGAGGCTCCGTTCACTCTTCATTAAGTAGCTGGTTACTTTTTGGCATTTGATACTGAAGTTGGTTAAGGACCAGCAGCTGAATTTGCAGTCTTTGTCCTTGGTTTTTGTGAGAACTTTCAACTGTGTGCATTAGTTTCTCCAGAGAGTTACGCTGCTTGCCACCATATTGATCTGAGAGGGTAAACTTTATTATTGCTATTGGATTAAAGGTATTTGACATACTTTATAATGTGAAACAACATTCCTTGTAGGTAAGGATACACTGGAACGTAAATATTTGTGCTCTTAACCTTTTGATGACTACTGTGTTTGCACTGAAAACAATATTCTTGGTTTGGGATTTTCTGTTTGTGGTGGAGGGGTTTGCCCCCCTTGTTTTTTTAAACTCTGCTGCACCTTCATGAGGAAAGATGATGGGTTTTAAGGATGATTGGTTTTGGTTTTAAGTGAGCCAATGGTGCATTTTACTGCACTCAAATTTTAAAACTGCAATAATTTATTATTCAGTCTTTCAGTATAATCTCTACAGCTTTTCTTCCTAAAGTTGCTACTGAGTGCCCAGTTGTTCATATTTCGGAATTAAAGGACAGAAACGGATATGCTTGACTGGTTTTCAGTGATAAAAAGGTTCCAGAAAATTCCAAGTAGTTAATTGTGGGGGAGGAACATTTAACCTTGATAACACTAATAGTTTAATTTTTTGCAGTATCACCGAGTGATTGAATAAAACCAAACATACAGTATACTTTCCCTGATGAAAGTATTTCTAGAATTAAAGGAACGTCCCTCATATTCCAGTATTTGAAGTCTTAATTTTACATATCATTTGACATTTAAATAGTCTTCATAAATAAAATTAGATAATGTTAGAATAAAACTGTTCCCATCAGAACACTGTTTTGCTGAGTCCTTTGTTTTAAATGTTTTCTTCTCCTTTGCTCTGGCGTCTGGGAGTTCAGTTGTTAAATAGAATACACAATTGCTTAAAGCCTCAAAACCGAGGGATTAAAAAAGAAAGTTTCTGTTCTAAGACTGGTATGCAGTATGGTGGCTATCTTGAGGATAACAAATAATTATACCTACAAAATCATGAAGTCTTAATTACGCAGAGCAGAACACGGAAAATGCAACTTCCCAGCTCTCAAAGTGAAAACAGAAAAGGATTTCCTTAAAGTATTGGTTTACCAAAAGTAAAGACATAACCACTAGTTGTCTGTAAAACTAAATGGTGGCATAACAGATTATTAAATTATTATGTTTTGCTTAAACCTGTTTCTATTTCAGTATTCTTAGTTCTTTGTCAACATGATTCAAGATGCATACTGGTTTTTGTCTTTTCTTTAAACTTTAATTTCATCAGACAACTTTAATAGATGAAGTCTATTCCAGTTTTAATACAAACTGTTCTCATAAAATAAAGTCAATTAGGTAATGCACGTGGATCAAATGTAAAGTATAGCTTGACAGCAGATTTATCTTCAAGGCTTGATTAGAATTTTGGAGCCTTATGTATATTTCGACTCTTTCTTGATCGATTATTCCTGTGTAATACTGAGAGAAAAGGAGTTGACTGTATTACATGTTTCTGAAGAAAGTATCTGTGTTTGGCTTTCTACAGGAAAATCTCAGGTGCTGAAGTATTTTGACTTGTAAACTTCTGTTAAGTTTTGTTCTGTACTTTTAAGTTTTATATAAGCTTAAATGTTGAATTTTGCACCCTATGCTTTGTAGTCAATAGTATCAGCGTAAAAAAGCCCTTTGTGAACTATATTGTTTTCACTTATCAGTGGCTTATCTCTCTTGTAATTAAACAAAGATTTATCTTCCTGTTCAGTGGTTAATTTCCCATAAGAGTGGGACATATGATATGACCAGCCCAGCATGTTGTAACTAATTTAGGAGTTTGTATTCCACCTCTTATTCTGAGACGATTTAGGTAAGCTGCCTCAAATATTTCTCTTATGTGATGCAGGTTTTTTTTAAGCTATAGTCTATAGTGCTTTATCATTGTTTTTATAGTTTAAAATTATAGGCCAGTCCTCACTGAAATTAAAAAGTGAAAAAGAAAAAAATTATTGCAATCATGGTTTCACAGTCTGTATTTCACTTGTCACCTTTCTATAAAGGTATGGTAATCTGGTATGCATTAAGTGATCTGCCCTGGTTAAAAGTGTATTTATTTCAATATAGGTTAATAGCCTGACCAAATAATAAATTATGTTAATTGTTTTAGCATAAAACTGAAGGTGCTTACACTACAAAGATTAAGATAAACACTTGATGTACTGTTTTACAAAACCTGATGATTTAAATGTTTTTATTTAAAAAAAATAAATGTTTTGTAGCTACTGTATTGCAACATGACCTGAATTTTCTTGAAAAATATATTTTAATGCTTTCTTAACACATACAAAGGAGTTGTTTGGTGAATAACCAGGAACTATAGACTATGGCCAGCCTGTTCTTGGAACATCAGAATGTAATTGTTAACTTTAAGATTAATTATCCAATACAGGAACATGAATGTTCCTGTAATTTCTTGCAATTGATATTGGCAGAAACATATGGTTTAAGCTTGTTCTTTCTTTCATGTGACCATAATATGTCTTTTAATGCTTTTACAATGTTGGCTGAGTATCTTAGAGGAGGTAGAGCAGTGCATATAAATAACTTCTGCATCTAATTCAGCATCAAGAGTACAGGTAAGGAATAACATATTCTGCTGTGGGGTTTGTGGGGTGGGGTTGTTTTTTTGTTTGGGGCAACGGGGTTGGTACTTTGGTTTTTTGGCTTGGTTAGGGTTTTTTTTTTAGGCAAATGAAGCCAGTATTTTTCCTTGTAATATTTTCTAACTTCATCTTTTGTGAGCTCCCCTCTTCTTTTCCCCCATCATGCCATAGGTGCATTAGCCCATCTTTCAGTAAGAAGAGGAAGTATCCATTTGCACAGTGGCAACAGGCAAGGTACAGCAAAGTCTGTAGCAGTGCAGTGAAATTCAAAGCTATAAGGCCAATCTCATAAGAACATACCTGCATGGAGCTTTCAGTGAGGCTAGCTAGATAACAAATATTTACATGGCCTGTGAGCATCAGTATGAAGCCTGGATTATAAACCAAGCTGCACAGGCAGTTTGTTTTATACACAGTGGTGTAATGGTAATATTAAGGACTGCATGCAAGTATGTGGTAATGGAAAAGATCCCATTCTCACTAGCCACCTCCCTTCTTAATAGAACTAGTCAGACCACTAGAGTGTATGCATTATGAGGAGTTAATGAGACTCTGTTATCTATGTTATTTTTTTGATGTAAGTTGAGGGTTCTTAAGACTGCAGCATTAGGTATTCTGAATTAAGGCCAGAGTTCTTGCAAGTGTGTAATGGATTTCTTCCTGAACGTAAGTGAAAATGAGCAAGCCAAATATGAGTTGGTCATCTCAGTACTGTTAGAAATCCGGTATCCTCAGTGATCTTGCTAGTTTGATAAAATAGTTTTTTTAACCAGAAGAAAGGCTTTGTGTTCTAATAGGCTGGAGAATAAATCCACAGAGCTATGAAAGTCTGATAGATTTACTTTTCTATTTCACAGAATCACAGGATCATTTAGGTTGGAAGAGACCTCAAGATGAAACAGTCCAATCCCCTGTACTAGAGCAGGTTGCCCAAGACCATGTCCAGTCCAGTTTTAAGTATCTCCACAGACGGACACTCCACAGCTTCTCTGGGCAATCTGTTCCAGTGTTTGACCACCCTCACAGTCGAAACATTTTCTCATGTTCAGAATTTCCTGGGGTTTTTAGTTTGTGCCCATTGCCTCTTGTTCTGTCACTGGGCACTGCTGAGAAGTGAAGAGTCTGGCTCCCTCTTCATTCCCCCTTATCAGATATTTATAAGCCTTTCAGCCTCTCAGCCTTTCCACAAGATGAAAGATGCTCCAGTCCTTTTAAGCATCGTTGTGGCCCTGCACTGGATTTATTCTCATAGGTCCGCAACTTTCCTGTGCTGGGGAGCCCAGAACTGCACCCAGCACTCCAGGTGTGGCCTCGCCAGTGCTGAGTAGCGGAGAAGGGTCACCTCCCTCAACCTGCTAGCAACACTCCTAATGCAGAATACCATACAGCCTTTGCTGTAAGCACACATTGCTGGCTTATGTTCAGCTTGTCCACCACGATCCTCTGGTCCTTTTCTGCAAAGCTGCTTCCCAGGTGGTTGGCTGCCACTGTGTACTGGTGCATGGGGTTGTTCCTCCCCAAATGCGTTTCTACTTTGTGAGATTCATCTACGCCCAATTTTCCAGCCTATCCAGGTCTCTCTGAATGGCAGCACAAGTATCTGGTGCATCAGCCACTCCTCATAGTTTTATATCATCTGCAAAGTTGCTGAGGATACACCTTGTTCCAGCATCCAGATCGTTAACGGAGATGGTAAACAGTATCGACCCTAGTATCAACCCCTGGGATCCTCCACTGGTGACTTGCTGACATTTAAGCAAGTGGTAGTTAATACCTCATATTTTATTCATATTATGTAAAATATTTTTCCTAAGTGATTTAGGTAATTGCTATTCTTCAATTACTTTCAAAAACT